GCAGCGCACCCACATGACAACGCCGCTCACTTTCAAGACGCTGACGAACAGGAGGATGACCTGTTCAGCTTCGGTGGGGGATCGGACGCTTTGGACGACGGACCAGCCAGCGAAAACCCTGCCCCGTCGGGCAACCTCTCGATCCCTACTGCGACTCCGTCCCCGAGAGCGACATCGCCCACATACGATGATATCGGCCACCGCCAAGACGCCGACCACGACCTGGGTGACCCCCGCGGACTGAGTGGCATAGAGGACGCACCGCCGATACCACACGCTGCCGACCATGCCGCCCTACCGAGACGCCAACCTTCTACGCGACCGACCTCAGAGCCCTTGCACGGCATCATGATTGGTCCCACCGCGCAAACCACTCCGCCCCCCCACCGGCGGCAGCCCGCGGGGGCGGCTTCAGCCCCCCCGCAGGGCACTAAACCAGACAGGCCCTCGTGCCCCGTCCACGCTTCCATCGTTGCTGAGCGAGAGGAAGCGGCTCTCCCGACCTCTCGGGGCGTGGCCCTAGCGGCTCCAGCCCTGGGGTCGCGTGTGCCCCTCCAGTCACCCTTCAAGGGTGACGGACGACAGCGTACAGGGTGCCGCACTACGCTAGTCCACCATTTGGACAGGCGTACCGAGGACCTCGCCTCTGTCTCGAGGCTCTCGGCTGCTGGCACTGAGCAGCCACCCCTCACCGACCGCGAAACCGAGCTGTCCCAGGCTATGGCTGCTCTCCAGCAGAGGTGCGTTGCTCTCGCCGCGGACCTCGCCGCCGCCCAAGCTCGCCAAGGCCCTCTACTCCAGCGCCTTCACAGCGCTGGGCGAGCCTTTGCCGAGCTGCTCACGGCCTCGCCCGATGGTGCCGTGCCGTCACTCACCATCCAAGCTATGCTGTCATCGTTCCGCGGCGCTCCACCTGGTGCCCCGCGCTAATCTCCTCCTTTCTGCCTGCCCGTGTGTACGCGTGGCTCCGCGTCCACGGTGTCAGGGCGTGGGGGCGGGGGGTGCCCCGTCACTGCGCGCCGCTTAGCGGCCAAGCGCCCAACTGGCGGTCTGCCAAGCCGCCTAGCCACGTGTCAGCACGTCGCCTTTCTTGTTGGGGCCTCTTTCCTTACGCGGTCTGACAGGTGAGATCATCATCGTCTGTCCGCCGTCTGTAGCGTCTGTCGCACTGCGCCGGGGGAGGGGTTTTTTGTTGCCCGCCCTCGTATCTAAAGGCTGCACCGCCGCAAATAGTGCATGCGAGTTGTCGCACCGCAGTGCGCCTCGCGGACGGACCCTGGTCCGCCTACTTGTCCGATCTCTCTCTCTCTCTCTCTCTCTCTCTCTCTCTCTCTCTCTCTCTCTCTCTCTCTCTCTCTCTCTCTCTCTCTCTTCTCTCTCTCTCTCTCTCTCTCTCTCTCTCTCTCTCTCTCTCTCTCTCTCTCTCTCTCTCTCTCTCTCTCTCTCCCTTTTTCTCTCTATCGCACGCTTCGTGGCGGTTGCGCCCGCATGGCATCGCCACCCCGCTTAGGCGCACCCCTCACACGCTTCGTGGCCCCATAGGGAGCTCCACCCAAGGCGCCAGTAGCTGCGCCGGCATGCCACCGTCTCCCTTGTTTGGCGCACCCCTCACACCCTTCGTGGCCCCATTGGGAGCTCCACCCAAGGCCCCAGCGGTTACGCTCTCAAGCCGCCATCACCCCTTTTTGGCGCACCCCTCAGGCGCTTCGTGGCCCCATGAGGAAGCTCCGTGTAGGCCCCAATGGCTGCGCCCGCATGCCCTCCCCACCACATTTTGGCCTCACACATTTGTTGTCTCCACAAACCATTCTGGGCCACCCCTCACGCGCTTCGTGGCCCCATGGGAGCTCCACTCACGGCCCCAATGGCAGGAATCGCATGCGTGACCGTTCCGATTTCGGCACACCCGTCGCACGCTCCGTGGCCACATAGGGAGCTCCGCCGAAGGCCCCAGAGGCGAGAAACGCATTCGTGACCGCGCCTATTTCGGCACACTCCTCACGTTTCGTGGCCCCCTCAGGAGCTCCACCGGATGCCCCACCAGCAGGAATCGCGTGCGTGACCGCGCCCATGTGGGCGCGCCCCTCGCACGTTTCGTAGACTTGCAGGCCACGCCGCCTGCTGCTCCCCAGAGCCGGGCCGACAGACGCTCTGATCAGCCCTGATGGGCTACATCCAGAGGTAACCCGTTGCGGCGAATTGTGGCGACCCCATCAGCAACGTCGCTCCGTCCTCCTCACGCACGCCTTGGTCAGTTTGCTCGCCCCTCCCTTAGTCTCCACCTGCCTTGCGGTGCTCGCAGCTGTATATGGTTGGGTCCTTCGCCAGGCTGATGGTTGAGGATATTTGCAGCGAAACGCCCCACCACACCAAGTCGATATCCAACGCCCGAGCTCAGCAGTTCAATGTTCGAAGGATGTCTCAGGCCAAAGTCTCGTTTTTGAGAACCGACGTCGAACACACCACTCGTACAACATCCCCATGATGTGAGGATGTCTGAGACAAAACGCACCCAAGCCATGTTGGATATCCGACGCCCGACCTCCAACATTTCATTGTTCTGAGGATGTATCAGGCTAAAGCTGTTTGTTTTCTCCTGAGAATATCTCTGACGAAAGCTTCATGTTTGGAAATTGTCGTCCCAAAGATTACGTGCGGCTCCCCATGTTGGAAATCCAACGCCCCAGTGGGCATGTGAAAGCACGCCCTCCTCGCGTGCGCCGCCCTGCGCGCACGCCTTTCCACGCGCAGAGAATCCGGCGCTTCTAACACGGACACCCTTTGAGGGCCCCGTTGTCGCCAGGAAGACACGAAAATTCGGTCCAAGCGCATGCGCGACGAGACGCGTGTTGGGGACCCCCGTTCAGCACACTTATGTATCACGTGCCCAAGTCCGACGCCACCTGGTCGGCACCTGCGCTGGTTGGTCACCAGCGGCCCGCACACTACAAGGGAGCATTGCGGCAGAAACACACCGCACTCATGTCGAAACTCCTGGGCGGATTTGTGTGCGTCCGCTCTTGCGCTGGCATGCGCGTGCACGCCGCGCACGTGCCCGCCATGTGCGGGCCGTCTGGGCTGGGTGTCCCACTGTGCATGCGCCCAGTGGGCATGCGCAGGGTCATGTGCGGTGTGCTTGGTGGATCATGTGCCTGCACATGCTGGCGCACATGCCCGCACATCCTTGCACGTGCGGAAGGTGCGGCATCTGCCAGCGGCACATGCACGCGCATGTTTGGGCAATCTTCCTTCGGATGACCGCGCAGGCCCGCACGTGCTCCCACATGCGTTGAAACGCTCGTCCGCACATGCTCGCATATGCCGACGCACATGCCGTCGAAGTTGTCTGGGTTCCTTAGAAGAGTTTCCATTATTCCGTGGCCTTTCGCAGAGTTTCTTCGGGCTCGCCAGGGCTACCCAAAGCTTGATGCGGCCATGATGGGATCCGGTGCACATGCTGAGAGAGCTTGCGCGCTGGACTCGCCCACTGCTGATGGGAGCTGTTCCTCGCCCGCGGGCCACATCTACATGCTTCACCTTTTGGTCGTCGTCCAGTGGCCGCGCAGGGTTTGTTGGCGCGGTCTGTTCAACTCTCTTTCCCTCGCGCCTGCTCGGCTCGGCCTGGAGAGCAGGAGGGAGAGGAGGAAAAACGGAGGAAAGGAATCATATTGAGGGGGGATAGAAGGGAGGACATGCAGGAGTACGAGGAGGAGCAGGCGTGCGCAACTCGCATCTCGGACGGCATCCCCTTGAAGAACATCCAGGGAGAGGGGGGGAAAAGAATGCCGAGGAAGAGGAGGCCCGTTTCGCGTGGGACATCAGACACCATGGGTCCGAGATGTTTTGGCTTGAGGTGATCTGCCCCGAGTAGCTTGGGACATCGCTACACTTCTGGGTCCCACGATGCGATTATTCTAGCGTTCTGGCCCGTTTTGCGAGAGACGTCCTCAGAATCCTGGGCTCCGAGATGCCTTGGCTTTGGGCGATCTGGCCGGTTTCGCACGGGGCATCCCCAAAGTTCTGGATTCCAAGATGCGGCTCTGAAAGTGGTCTGGCACGTCTCGCGTGAGACACCTTCGGAGCTTGGGGTTCCAAGATAGTTCGAATTGAGATGATCTTATCCGATTTGCCTGGGGCATCCTCATAATTCTGGGTTCCAAGATGCGGTTCTTAAGCGTTCCGGCCCGTTCCGCGTGAGACACCATGGGAGCTCGGGGCGTCGAGAAGACGGGATTCAAGAAAGCGCGCATGGACTTCCTGGGCTCGCACAGGGTCGTCCGCCATCTTTACAGCACGACCGCTTGCTTAGGGCGGCCACCGGCGAGCTCGGCCTGTGTGCCATGGTTTCGCGGGGCATGCGCGGGGCGTGCAAAAATGCCAGGGCCAGCCAGGCCGGGAGCGGCCCCGATTCACCCGGCGCCCAGCCCACGCCCTGCGCAGGCGCGCGCAGCGCTTCCGCTGCCCGCGGTCGCCGCCAGGAACGGGGCGCTGGAGCGGTGGTCCAGCCATGCTCGCCCGAGACATCCTCGCAACTCCGTGTTCCGAGATGCCCTGAGCCCACGTGGTCGGGCCAGCTCGCCTGAGACATCCTCGCATCTCTGGGTTCCGAGATTCCCTGAGCTGAGATGGTCAAGCCATTTCGGCCTGAGACATGTTCGCCTCTCTGACCTCGGAAATGCCAGGAGCTGAGGTGTTCAGGCCATCCTCCCTTGAGACATCTTCGCAACTCTGAATTCGGAGATGCCCTGCCCCATGGTGGTCCAGCCACGATCGCCTCAGACATCCTCGCATTTCTGGGTTCCGAGTGCCCTGAGTTCAGGTGGACAGGCAATTGTGGCCTAAGACATCCTCGCAACTCTGACCTCGGAGACGCCTTGCCCCATGATGGTCTGGCCTGTTTCGCTTGAAACATCCTCGCAACTCGGGGTTCCGAGATGCCCTGAGCTCAGGTGGTCAGGATGGCGTACCCCCCTCCTCCCGCACAGCCTTAGCGGCGGCAGGCAAGCTGAACACGCTGCAGGAGTTCTGGGGCGGCAAGAAGAGCCAGGGCTTCGCGGTGGCCCCGCCCGGATCAGGAGGAAGAGGGCGATGCGTCAGAGGAGGAAAATGCACCCATGTTTTAGATTTTTCCTCGTTTTCCCCTTCTTGGGCCGCCTGGAAGGCCCTCGTCGCCACCGCTGAATTCGCCTCGAAATCCTGATCAGAACGCACCCCTGGTTCCCACAATGACAGGACGGAACGAGGGGGTGAGGAGGAAGGGCAGCAAGAGCAGTACTCAGGATTAGGGGGTCACTGCCGTATAGCACCAGCACATGTCAGTGCATGGGGAGAGGTGGTGTTCTGGATGTGCGGCATAATTAGGGGAATGTATCACACGCAGCGTCGAGATTACTGCCCACCTGCCATTAATCCGCGCCTTGATCTACAGCGTGCGCTAAGGGAAGTGCTTGTTGCTGAACTATTCGCTCTCTCCCCTTTCGTTCCTTCTTTAGTCCGTGATCATGCTTCACATGGTTGCCACACATCGGCATTTAACATTAGTTGGTCTGCTGTTATCGCGCACGTTTAGGCACAGCAGGCCGCGGCTTCTTGGTTGGGAAAATTGGAGGAGAAACGCAAGGAGGAGGAACTGTTGCCTCTGTCTCTCGTTCGTTCGCTCTCCTTTGTGTTCTCTCTCTCTCTCTCTATATATATATACACATATGTTCATCCTTCCCTCTGCTCTATATACCTGTGTGTATGTATCTGCGCATGTGTGTTTATATACACACACAAGACTGCAGCTTCGCGATATGCACCTTGGTCCTCGAATTTTGGTATGCAGGCGGAATGTCAGGAAGGTCAAGCCGACAATTTAGTGATAACTCTTTGTTGCCTTTTCCGGCATCGCCGTTATAATAATGTGATGTGGTATCGTTCCTCCATGTTGATTGTTCCTCAGTCTCGCCACACCTTGCGTATTCTCCCCATCCTCCTCAGCTCTTTTTGCGGAGGCTGCTCCTTGGAGAGACCTTGGGGGCCTCACAACAGTTTTTCAGGATTTCTTAAGGCCTTTGAAGGCCTCCTGGGCGTCTTCTGAGGGCCTCTGGGGGCTTCCTCTGGCCACCCTGCCTCCAACCGCGGTCTGCCTGAACGACCGGGTCACGATTTAGAATGCTTCGGAGGGTGTCTTGGGGCCATCTTGGGCCGTCATGGTGCTCTCTTAGGACATCTTGGAACCCTGTTGTGCCGTCTTGGAGCTCTCTTGGACTGCCTGGAAACCTTTTTTCCGATGGTTGTGGGACAATTTTCGAGACTCCCAGGCGGCTTCGGACGCCCAGAAGACCGTCATCTTGGAGCATCGGGAAGCCGAAAAGAAGAGAACCCCAAAATTCACCAGGACCCAACAGAAAATCAATGAATTGTGCCTCTTGGGGCCTTCTTGGGAGTGCTCTTGGAAGCCTCTTGGGACGTTTTGGAGCGATCTTTGAGGCTTTGGGGGTATGACGGCTTCTTTGGGGTCGTCGCGAACCGTCTCGGGGCTCTCTGGGGTTGTTTCGGGAGCGCGCCAGAACGCCTGGAGTCCTCTGGAGCCGTCTTCGAACTCTCATGGGGTTCTCCTGGGTCGTCTAGAGTCTAGAGGGTTGCCCGAGAGGCCCGGGGTGGGCCAAATGCGTTAGGGGGGGACCTTATTCTGGGGTCCCCAGCCGTATAAGAATATACGAATCGGAATCCTTCACACCTGGCGCGCCGATACGAGTTCGGTCGCACTCGTGAGGTCCTCTGGTGCTGGTCGCTTTCCCTGGCGAGCCTCTGTCGCACCACGTGGTGCCCTCGCCCACTGTGTGGCAGTGCCCCCCCGAAACAAAAGATCGGGGAGAAGCCCCGCGGGGTCAGCTCGGCGGCCCCGCCCCGAAGGAAGGCTGCCCGGGGTCGCCCACGGTCCTCGGATGTCTCCTTGAACCTCGAGGATCTCGGGGGCGGAAAAGAGGGAGGGGGTGGACATCATGGCGTGGGCCATGATATTTCCCCAGATCTCGTGGCGCTTCTTCTTATTTCATTACGTCCCTGGCCCCCCCCGCTGGGCCCCGCACATGCCGCCGGCCATGATTTGCACCCCCCCCCTCTTGGACACCCCCCTCTTGGCCGCTCCCGAGGATCGACGAGGAGAGGGAGTGGGGCAAAGCCAGGCGCGCTCGAGCCATACCTGCTGCCCCACCCCTCTCACCCATTTTTCCCAATTTCGCGGAGTCGCGTTCTGTCCCATGACTGGGGTGTCCTAGTCTAGCGGACCTTGATCCCCACAAGGGCCCCGTCGTCTGATGCGCAATCGGAAGGGGGGGGCTTTGAGGGCGAGGGGGGAAGGGGGAGCAAGGGGGTGGCAAGGCAAGGCGAGGCGGTCTGCATGCCAGCTCCGGTGCCGGAGCGGTCCCCTGGAGGGCAGACGAATGATCTCGCGCAAGAGCGGCCAAACGCCGCGTGGGCAATCTCTTATCCACCCATAAGCGACAACGTGTGCAACGCAACAGAAACAACAAGAGGGGCGAGAGAGGGGGGGAGTCCGGGGGGAGGGGGGGGGAAGTGGAGGGGAGGGAAGGGAGGGGAACACATGCACATGCACAAAGTGTGAAACATGCAAACATCACGCCCTCAGAGAGTCTTCCCACCGCCACCGTGGTCGGCCGACGCTTCGTCTGGCAACCGTCCGGAACCACGGCGTCCACTTCAAGAGTATTTTGCTCCATTTGTTCTCCGTGTCAAAGCATACGCGGGCTACAAACTCCGACTTTCTAGCGGATTGGATGGTTGTCCACCGTCGGATGTTGAATTTGTTGTAAGATTTTCCATTGCCAGCGTGGAGCGTTTGACGTATTCCACCCAAGATTCTGTATTTCTTCTGGCAACGCGAAAGATGCTCCGGAGCATTTTCCACCAGGTAATTTGTAAGCGGTCTCTGGCCGCAGAATCTAGCACCCAACACTCACATCTGTATAGCGCCACAGGGCTCACAACGCTCTCAAACAATTTCAGACGTTGTCGCAGGGGGTAAGCCAGAGAACATAGAACATGCTTGAATTTGGCGAACGCCCCCCATGCAGACGACAACCGGTGCGTGAGCTCTGTCTCAAGCCATCCAACAAGACATAATTTTGAGCCCAAGTAACGTTCGGCTCCGCCTTGCTGCACTACGTCTACATTTAGGCCTGACACACTAACGGATGAAAGGTTGGTGTCCGTGTTTGTCAAAATTTTGGTTTTTCCCAGATGAACCGCCAGGCCATATTTATACGCCTCCTGCTGCAAATCCCGGAGCATCTTCACAACGTCGGCTTTGCTTTGCGCCAGGAGAAGAACATCGTCAGCGAAACGCAAATTTGTCAAGGGGTCCGTCGGTGAATCGATAACCATCCCATAGTATTGACCCGTTCGTCTCTGATTGAGACCGTGCCATCGCTTCTTCAGGTTCCGAGAACATACAATGACTGCAATGAATAATAAAGCGGAGATTGGGTCGCCCTGCTTCATTCCTCGGGATGTACGGAAACGTCTGGACGTCGCGCCAGTAACGACAACGGCCGTTTGATCTCTGCACAATTTCTGCAGGAACGATATGTAATTCTCCCCAACGTCCAGTGAGCGAAGAACTTTCCAGAGAGCAGCGTGTTCGACTGTGTCGAACGCTTTTTCAAAATCGACGGATCCAACCCACAATTTTTGATTCCATTCTGCGCAGCCTTCGGTCAGCAGCGCCATTGTCAATAAATGAGATACGGTGGAGAACCCTTTGCGATACGCTGCCTGATCTGGCGACTGCGCAGATACAATCAGCGGCTGAAGCCTGTCACACAAAATGCGTGCAAACAGCTTGTATAATCTTGGTAATATTGCGATTGGCCTGTAGCTCTTCGGTAATAAACGATCTCCTTTCTTGAACAGATCGACCAACCTCGTTCGCCTCCACGTTTCTGGTAGCTCCGCTTCCAGGCTGAGCGCGTCATTGAAGAGGTCAAATATACTATGCCGGAATTTTGCACTGGATGCTTTTAGTATTTCGGCTGCCACTCCCGCCTCGTGCTTGCATTTTCCGCATTTCATTGTTGATAAAGCATCATCAATTTCCTGAATTGTGAAGGGTGGGACGCCTTCGCCGCGGCTTTCGCCAGCGCCGTCTGCTTCCGCCCGACCCTCGTACAGTTTTTCATAGAAGCAAGCCGAAACTTCAGAAATACTGCATTGATCCACGTGCTCTGTCACAGCGTCGTCCTGGATCGCTGCAATACGGTATTTTTTCTTGTGGTTTCCAGCATTTGCCAATCCAGATATCTTTCGGAAATCCACCAACATTCTGCTGATTTGCGCCTCACTTGTGTCCTTCAACCGCTGCTGGATGATTTTCTTGATTTGCATGCTGATTTCTTTCCGACGCTGTTTCTTTTTCGTTGGTGCTCAAAGCCTGGTTCCGCCTGACTCCCCACCTTTCTTTGATCAGCGCCTCGAGTTCTGTGTCTGGCGGCCGAGAGGAATCCGGCGCGTCTGTGCGCGGAAAGACATCTTCTAGCGCAGACATCATGCACTGCTCGAGTGTTTCCGCCTCTCTCGACGGTTCGCACCTTTGCGTCGGACTCTGATCAAATTGTTCGTCAAGTACCTGGCGGAAACATGTCTTATCAATTGCTGCGGTCCAAGGTTTGTGCCGTGCTGTCTGCGCCGGCTGCTCCGAAGCACGCTAAGGCGAAGCGAAGCTCTATTGGCCGATGGTCAGAACCAGTGTCTAATCGAGTGCACACGAGGCAGGACGATATATCACAGCGAAGCCGGCGGTCGACCAGGATGTAATCCAATTGTTAGTGAAGATGTCCATTTGCATATGTCCATAACACATCTGGTCCAGTTTCGACAAAAGTGTTGGCTAATATGAAATGGTGCAGAACTTGACGGAGGAGGGGCAGGTGGGGGCGGGCGGAACTAGAGGGAGGAGGGGCAGGTGGGGCATGGTGATCAAAGACCAAGGTTTCTGGAATACCCGGGGCCGTTTTGAAATCGTGGCCTCCAGGGACCTCGGGGGCCCTCCAGAGTTCTTCGGACGAGGACCAGCAGGAAGACGAGATTAAGGAGGAGGAGGAGGGAGAGGAAGCGGATAAGGATAATGAGGTATCCTATCATTATTCCGCTGTCTTTCCCCCCATTCACCTCATCCTCCTTCCACTCCGTCCTTCGAACGTAGCCATAGTTCATGGTATGTCCATCATGGTCAGAGCAATGTTGATTTAAATGGTATCACCGCTGTGCTCAGGGACCACAGCACCGCCGCGGGCTCTCCTCCTCCCGCTCCCTCCCGGCCTCCTCCCCTCCCTCCGCATCCCTTTGCATCCCCGGTGTGTCTTGCTGTCCTTCTCCTTCCGCCCGCTCTCGTCCTCCGCCACCTCCTGCTCCGCCCCCCCCAGTACGGCGCGCTCCCCTCAAAGCCTTCGTCTTGCCCGCTGCCTCTCACCACGCGCTGCGCCAGGGAGGGCAGCAGCTGGACAAGTCCAGCCGACTCTCCAAGGTGGAGGCACAGGCACGCGCACGCGCTACGCTCGCAGGGCAGACTGTCTGGAGTGAAACCCGCCAGGAGGCAGGTCGAAGGCGGGGAAGGCGAAGGACAAGAGAGGAGCAGGAGTTTCGCAGAGGATGAGAGACCATCCCGCTCCTCATCGTCCTCCCCCTCCTCCCTCACTTCTCTTCCTCCGCCGCTTCCTACTCCTCCTCCTCATCCTCCTCCTCCTCCTCGTTTTCCCTTCCCTTCTCATTCGCTCCTTCCTTCCTCCCTTCGCATCATCCTCCTTTTCTTTCCTTCTCATTCGTTCCTTCCTCCCTCCCTTCTGCTCCTCCTCATCCTCCTCATCATCATCAGCAGCATCGTCATCCTCATCATCATCAGCAACATCAGCAGCAGCAGCATCATCATCATCATCATCATCATCATCATCATCATCATCATCATCATCATCATCATCATTTTCTTCTTCACCAGCATATCATCATCAGCATCCTCAGCATCGCCATCAGCATCAGCGTTGTCATCATCATCAACATCACCATCAACATCAGCATCAGCATCATCATCAGCATCAGCATCATCATCAGCATCCTCATCCTCATCCTCATCCTCATCCTCATCCTCCTCCTTTGTGTCCTCCTCCCTCCCTCCTGCCCTCTCCGCGGGGCGCGGCGGCACGTCGGCGGCGGCGGCGCCACCTGGAGGGGAGGAGTGGGCCAGGTTTGTGGCGTTGGTGCATCGGACCCCCCCCCGCGCGCTCTGGCCGCGGCTCGCGGCTCGCGCAGCGGGGCGAGGGTCGGAGAATGGAGGTTAAGCGTTAGCCAGTGGGGAGGGGGAGGGAGGGGAGGAGTGGGGAGGTGGAAGACCGGAGTGGATGGGCAAGGAGCACGAGGAGGAGGGGGAGGGGGGGAGGGGGGAGAGGAGGGGCGGAGGGGAGAGGGGGGAATTGGGGAGGGGGGATGGGGGAGAGAGGAGGGGCGGAGGGGGAGAGGGGAGAGGAGGGGGAAATGGGGGAGACGAGGGGGCGGAGGGGAGAGGGGGAGGAGGAGGAGCAGTGCAAACCCCAGGCGCATCAGCGATGCTGCAGCGAGAGGAGGAGCGGCGCCGCCCAGGCTGCGCTCCAGAGGCTCGTCTCCGCGGGCAGCGACCTGAACGAGGACGGCGGGGGGCCGCGGGCAGAAGCGGGCCCCCGTCCTCCCTGCCCAAGTTCCTCCTCGTCCTTCTCCCCTTCCTCTTCCTGCTCCTCCTCCCCCCTCCTCCCCCTCCTGCCTCCTCCTCCTCCTCCTCCTCCTCCTCCTCCTCTCCAGCTCCTCCTCCTCTCCTCCAGCTCCCTCCTCCTCCTCTTCACCCCCCTCCTCCTCCTCATCCTCCTCCTCCTCCATCATCATCATCATCATCATCATCATCATCATCATCATCATCATCATCATCATCATCATCATCATCATCATCATCATCCCCCTCCCCCGCCTCCTCCCTGCCTCCCCCCGCCTCCCTGCCTCCCTGCCTCCCTCCCCTGCCTCATTTCCTCCTCGCCCTTCTCCCCCTCCATCTCCTCCACTCCACCTCCCCGTCCTCCCTGCCCAAGTTCCTCCTCGTCCTTCTCCCCTTCCTCTTCCTGCGCCTCCTCACCCTCCTCCCCCTCCTGCTCCTCCTCCTCCTCCTTCTCCGCCTACTCCTCCCCCTCATCCTCCTCCTCCGTCCATCGGGCCTGGCGGCATTCCTTGGAGAAGAGGGCGGATAATGCGGTGGTGGGGGGGGGTCAAGAATGTGTCTGGGAGGTCTCAGACCCTCAAGGGTCCCTCACTTGATGAGGGCGGCGATGGTATCCATTGCCAATCCACAATTGGAGCTCAACCGGCTTCCAGACCCTGTATTAGTTACCAAATTGTCATCGAGCCAGCGCCATCACCGTAGTTGCAGTTGCAGTCGTAGAAGTCGTAGAAGTCGTAGGAGTCGTAGAAGTCGTAGAAGTCGTAGTAGTAGTAGTAGTAGTAGTAGTAGTAGTAGTAGTGGTAGTAGTAGTAGTAGTAGTAGTAGTAGTAGTAGTGGTGGTAGTAGTAGTAGTGGTAGTAGTAGTAGTAGTAGGAGGAGTAGGAGTAGGAGTAGGAGTAGGCGTAGGAGTAGGAGTAGGAGTAGGAGTAGTAGGAGTAGTAGTAGTAGTAGCAATAGTAGTAGTAGTAGTAGTAGTAGTAGTAGTAGTAGTAGTAGTAGTAGTAGTAGTAGTAGTAGTAGTAGTAGTAGTAGTAGTAGTAGTAGTAGTAGTATAGCAGCAGCAGCAGTAGTAATGGTAGTAGTAGTTGTAGTAGTAGAAGTAGTAGTAGTAGTAGTAGTAGTAGTAGTAGTAGTAGTAGTAGTAGTAGTAGTAGTAGTAGTAGTAGTAGTAGTAGTAGTAGTAGTAGTAGTAGTAGTAAGTAGTAGTAGTAGTAGTAGTAGTAGTAGTAGTAGTAGTGATCACAGTACAAATAGTAGTAGTAGTAGTCGTCGTCGTCGTCGTCGTCGTCGTCGTCGTCGTGGTAGTCGTAGTAGTCGAAGTAGTCGTAGTAGTCGTAGTACTAGTAGTAGTAGTCGTCGTCTTCGTCGTAGTAGTAGTAGTAGTAGCAGTAGTAGTAGTAGTCGCCGTCGTCGGAGTAGTAGTAGTAGTAGTAATAGTAGTGACAGCCCTAGTAGTAGTAGTGGTAGTAGTAGTAGTAGTAGTAGTACTAGTACTAGTACTACTAGTAGTAGTAGTAGTAGTAGTAGTAGTAATAGTAGTAGTAGTAGTAGTAGTGGTAGTAGTAGTAGTAGTAGTAGTAGGTGTAGTGGTAGCATCTCCGAGAAGACGCTTGGCAGCGCCCCTCCTCCCGGAGCCGGCCCGTCTGGTTGCCTCTCCGCCTCCTCTTCCTTCCCTTCTTTTCCGCTGCCGTCCTCGATGTCGAAGCCTGGGGGGGGGAGGGGGGGATTTGTCTTTTTGAATCGTCCCACGATGGTTCGTTGGTTTTCGGACCCGTCGGCCGCTGTCCTTTGACCCACCCACCCCCCTTTGACCCACCCACGGGAGCTTCCGAGAGCTCGAGAGAGTTTCAGGAGCTCCAGAGAGCTCCTAACTGTAACCTCTGAGATCAAAAAGACAGTAGCAGTAGTAGCAGTAGTAGTAGCAGTAGTAGTAGTAGTAGTAGTAGTAGTAGTAGCAGTAGTAGTAGTAGTAGCAGTAGTAGTAGCAGTGGCAGTATTAGTAGTAGGAGTAGTGGCCGTAGTAGCAGCAGTAGCAGTATTTGTAGCAGCAGTAATTGCAGTAGTAGTAGTAGTAGTAGTAGTAGTAGTAGTATCAGTAATAGCGATAGTAACAGCCGTAGTCGTAGTCGTAGTCGTCGCAGTCGTAGTCGTAGTAGTAGCCGTAGTGGCCGTAGAAGTTGTTGTCGTAGCAGGCGTAGCCGTAGTCGTAGCAGTAAGAGTAGTAGTAGTGGTCGTCGCTGTAGTAGTGTAGCAGTAGTAGTAGTAGTAGTCGTCGTCGTCAGCTTGTAGTTTGTATGTGTTAGTTTGCAGCTTGTAAGTTGTAGATTGTAGCTAGTGGCAGCAGAAACATTTAGTAGCAGTAGTAGTAGTAGTAGAAGTAGTAGTCGTGGCAGTAGTACCAGTACTATTACTGGTACTAGTACTAGTACGAGTACTAGTAGGAATGGTAGTAGCAGCAGTAGAAGTAGTAGTAGTAGTAGTAGTAGTAGCAGTAGTAGGCGCAGCAGTAATAGTAGTAGAGTAGTAGAAATGGAAGAAGCAGCAGTAATAGTAGTAGTAGTAGTCGTAGTAGTCGTAGTCGTAGTAGTAGTAGTTAAGTAGTAGCAGCATTAGCAGCAGTGATAGTAGTAGTAGTAGTAGTAGTAGTAGTGGTACTAGAACTAGTACTAGTACTAGTACTAGTACTAGTAGTAATAGTAGTCGTCGTCGGCGTCCCTCAGTTAATGAAGATGGCGTTGGTATCCACTGCCAATCCACACTTGGAGCTCAACCGGCAACCAGGCCCTGGATTAGTTACCAAATGGTCAGTGAGCCAGCGCCCTCACCGCAGTTGCAGCTTTAGTCGCAGTGGTAGTAGAACCAGTCCAAGTACTAATATTACGATGATAGTAGTAGTCGTAGTAGCAGCAGTAGTAATAGTAATACACGCAGTTGCCGTCGTAGTAGTAGTAGTAGTAGTAGTACTAGAAGTGGTAGTAGTAGTAGTAGTAGTAGTAGGTATTGTTGTAGTTGTAGTAGTAGTAGTAGTAGGAGTGGTAGTAGTAGTAGTAGTAGCAGAAGAAGTAGTAGTAGATGGGGTAGTAGTAGTAGTAGTAGCCGCACCAGTAGCATCGGTAGTAGTAGTGGTCGCTAGCCGTAGAGGTAGTAGTAGTAGTAGTAGTAGTAGCAGTAGTAATACATCAGTCGCAGTCGTAGTCGCAGTAGTAGTAGTAATAGTAGTAGTCGTCGTCGTCGTGGTAATCGTAGTAGCACTTGTAGTAGTAGTGGCAGTTGTAGTACGAATAGTGGCCGCAGTAGTAGTAGCAGTAGTAGCGTAGTAGTAGTAGTAGTAGTAGTAGTAGTAGTCATAGTCGTAGTCTTAGTAGGCGTAGGCGCAGGCGTAGTCGTAGTAGAAGTCGTAGAAGTCCCCGTAGCCGTAGTAGTTGTCGTAGTCGTAGTAGGAGTAGTAGTAGTCGTCGCCGTCGTCGGGGTAGTAGTAGAAATGGCAGTCGTAGTAGTATGAGTAGCAGTCGTAGTAGTAGTAGTAGTAGTAGTAGTAGTAGTAGCAGCAGCAGCAGTAGCAATTGTAGCAGCAGTAATAGTAGTAGTAGTAGTAGTAGTAGTAGTAGTAGTAGTAGTAGTAGTAGTAGTAGTAGTGACAGTGGTAGTAATGGTAGTAGTGGCCGTAGCGGCCGTAGTAGCAGTCGTAGCAGTAGTAGTAGTGGTAGTAGTAGTAGTAGTAGTAGTAGTCGCAGTATCAGTAGTAGTCGTCGTAGTCGTAGTTGTAGTCGTATATCAGTCGTCGTCGTAGTCGTAGTAGTACTAGTAGTAATCGTTGTCGTCGTCGTGGTAGTAGTAGAAGTGGTAGCCGTAGTAGACCTAGTAATAGTAGTGGCCGTAGTAGCTGTAGTGGCCGTAGTGGCCGTAGTAGCATTCGTAGTAGTAGTAGCGGTAGTAGTAGTAGTAGTAGTAGTAGTAGTAGTAGTAGTAGTAGTAGTAGTAGTAGTCGTAGTCGTAGTCGTAGGAATAGTAGCAGTCGTAGTCGTAGTAGTCGTAGTCGCAGTCGTAGTCGTAGTTTTAGTAATAGTAGTAGTCGTAGTAGCCATAGAAGTTGTCGTCGTCGTAGCCGTAGCAGGGGCATTCGTAGTCGTAGTAGCCGTAGTAGTTCTAGTAGTTCTAGTAGTAGTAGTAGTAGCCGTCGCAGTAGCAGTAGTAGTAGTAGTAGTAGTAGTAGTAGTAGTAGTAGTAGTAGTAGTAGTAGTAGTAGTGTAGCAGTAGTAGTAGTAGTGGTAGTAGTGTTCGCCGTCGTAGTATTGTACCAGAAGTAGAGAAGTAGTAGCAGTAGTAGTCGCAGCTTGTAGTTTTATAGCTGGTAGCTTGTAGCTTGAAGTGTGTAGTTTGTAGTTGGTAGTAGTAGTAGTAGTAGTAGTAGTAGTAGTAGTAGTAGTAGTAGTAGTAGTAGTAGTGGTAGTTGTTGTTGTAGTAGTAATATGAGTTAGTACTAGTACTGGTACTAGCACTAACACTAGTAGTAATGGTAGTAACAGCAGTCGAAGTAGTAGTCGTTTTAGCAGCAGTGATAGTATAAGTAGAGGAAGAAGTAGTAGTAGTAGTAGTAGTAGTAGTAGTCGTCGCAGCAGTAATAGTAGTAGGAGTAGGAGTAGGAATGCAGGAAATAGTGGTAGTAGCAGTAGTAGTAGTAGTAGTAGTAGTAGTCGGAGTCGTCTTACAAGTCGCAGTAGTCAGAGTAGTAGTAGTAGTAGTAGTAGTAGTAGTAGTAGTAGTAGTAGTAGTAGTAGTAGTAGTAGTAGTAGTAGTGGGAGTAGTAGTAGTAATAGTAGTAGTAGTAGTAGTAGTAGTAGTAGTAGTGGTAGTGGTAGTGGTAGTGGTAGTAGTAGTAGTAGTATCACTAGTAGTAGTAGTCGTAGTAGTAGTAGTGGTAGTAGCCGTCGTCGCCACGGTAGCAA